TTCAATTAGTGCTGTAATGAATGGTAAATGGCTCTGCAAGTCGTAAGCCAATCAATCATCTTGGTCGATTAATTTAACTGTTCAACATTCTAGCAACTCGGCTAATTAACCGCTTTGCTTGTATTATGAAGATTCGGTTTAGATTCGTAAGCTAATTACATGATAACTATAATAATACAGCATGACATTAGCTACTATCGCAAACTACATACTAGTGGATAGGCACGTCCAATTAGGGTGCGTGGTGTACTATGTAAATCAAAATTATTGTGGTCATATATAATAAAATTCATTAACGAAGATTTTTGATAGGTAATAAATTTTATAATGATTTTTAGAAAATTTTTAATAGATATGACCATATATAGTTTTGATTTGTATAATACACTGCGCACCCCCAACGTTCAATATTCGCGCTTAATTTAAATAAAGAGGGTATGTACTGTGATATTTCTTTCTATACAGTATAGGCTTGCTGAATATATCTTCTTAAATTTAGATTCCACACAGGTATCTTTTTGTCTTGTTGAAATAATTTTCTAAATCACTTATTTAAGAATTTTTATGCCGTAAAATTTTTAAGCAATATTTTATTCTTTGAATTGCCAAAAAAGTTTGTAAGGGTGAATATTAAGATTAAAAAGTGCTATATATAACATGCGAAATTCTCTGGTTATATGTACAAATGCTAAACATATTATTAAATGTGACGGATTAAAATGAAATCGAATTAAAATGAAATGTTATAAATATTGTACAATGTAAAAAAATAGACAAGCCACCGAAAAATAAAAATTTTTTAAAGTGCCTTATTTCGGTGCTGTTCACCGACAATCGTTTCACCGAAAGTTCACTTAGCCGACATCACACAGGGTTAGGATTAGCGTTTTATTAGTTGCAGGTATATATTTTTAGTAATTGTCACTTGGCGTGATGTAAGGCGGATCCCATTATTTAAGGTTAGGGTTTATAATAAACAAGTATAAGTGGGTTTTAGAGGGCTAAATAGAAACCCTCATTTTAATCCAGTTCCACGACAATAAATATGCTGTAACTTCTTCGGTATAAATTTGGTTTTTGTACTAAAAAACAAATATGCATGCAAATGGAAATGAAATTTTTTTAAAAATTACTTTTTTGATAAACTTTTTTAATTGACTAATGAGCTAATCAAAAACGTAACTATTATTTTAGCCTTGTATCACATTAATTAAATATTAATTGTCCTCCGCCTAAACTTTGAGCAAATATCTGATATTTTTCTTTTACTTTAAAAAAATGGACTCTGAACAACTTTACAAACTTGGTCACAACTATGAATTCGGTATTGGTATTACGAAAGACGAGAAGAAAGCTTTTGAATATTATTTGAAAGCAGCTGACTTAGGAAATCCGAATGCGATGGTTGCTGTAGGTAATTTTTATAATTATGGAGTTGGTGTAGAAATGAATTATCAGAAAGCATTCGAATATTGGAAAAGATCGGCTGATTTAGATAATGCTATGGCAATGTGTAATGTTGGTTATTGTTATGAAAATGAAAGAGGGGTTGATCAAGATTATAATAAAGCATTTGAATACTATGAAAAATCTGCTATTATGAGTAGTAAAATGGCAATGAGAAATTTAGCACTATGTTATCGAAGAGGTATCGGTACAAAGAGAGATATTCAGAAGGCAAATTATTGGTTCAGAAAATATAGAAGTAATTTAAAAACGAATAAATCACCTGATGATATCAATCCTGAACTTAAGATTATATTAGATGATGAGAGATTTAAATTATCTTGGATTGATTATAATGACTTCACAATTATCAAAGAATGGGGAAAAGGAGGATTTGCAACTGTATATTGGGCAAATTGGTACGACAGAATTAATAGTAGCTGGATAGATGTAGCACTTAAAGTGATTCGTAATTCAAACAAAAATTTTCAAGAATTTATCCAGGAATTGAAAAATTACTGTGAAATTGGATACGAAAATCCTTCGTTCCTGAATTGCTTGGGAGTATCAAAAAATAGTCATGGTGATTACATTATTGTTATGAATATTATGCCAAAAGGTTCGTTACGACAAAATCTTATAGAAGTATCACAATTAGAATGGAAAGATAAATTAAATATTTTGTACTATATTGCTTTGGATCTTGAAGCGATTCATTCGCAGAAACTCGTTCACAGAGATTTACACAGCGGAAACATTTTGCAACCTGAGTTGCAAAACGCATACGTCGCTGATCTCGGACTTTCTAAAAAATTAAAAGAAGGAAAAATTTGTGGAGTTCTGCCGTATATAGCACCAGAAATTTTGGTAGGTCAACCATACACTCAAGCGTCAGATATTTATAGCCTTGGAATTATCGCGACAGAGATTTCGACTGGACAAAGAGCATTTGATGGAGTTCTGTTTAATGGCGATCTTGTATCAAAAATTATCAATGGATCAAGACCTAAGTGTTTAGGGCCTGATTGTTATATTAAATTAGTTACGAAATGTATGGATAAAGATTTTGATAAACGACCTACAGCAACGGAAATAATTAAAATAATCACTCGTTGGTTAGATGAAATAGATCAGGAATATAATAATGAAATCAAAAAAAAGTTTCTTGAAGCTAATACGATTAAACCAGAACCAATTAGACAAATGCATACACAAGACACATATACTAGCTAACTTAGCTAAAAATTTCTTTTGCAAAACAAATTTCCTATCTATCTTTTCTAGTCAATGCAACATATTCTTTTATAAATTTTTTATTGCATATTATGAATTAGCTGCTCAAAACCACAATATTAACAATATTTCTAAAGATCAAGCTATTAACCAACCCAAAACCTTCTTTAAGAGACATTTTATAGACTTTATAAATTGATTAGAAGCTTTGTTTATACAACCTTCTTTAATCACAATTGCAAGAATGTTCAACAACACCACCTTCACAACCACCAAGACTTCAGATTACAACAGTAAGAACTCCAACTCCTAATTTTATGTATTTAAAAGAAAAAAAAAATTTTTTTTTTTTTTCGCTTTGCTTATTAATTAAAATTTTTTGCTTATAAAAAAAGAGATTTAAATACTGATCTACAATCTTTTTTTAGTTCTAAAAATATATTTATAGGGGGTGGAGGATGATCATAAATTGTCGGATATCACCATTATTGTGCAAATCTGGGAATACGGCAATTTGTCTCAACCGGACAAATGATTGTCTGACACATGCTGCTTCGCGGCACGTGTCAGCCAATCATTTGCCCGGTTGAGCCAAATTGCCGTTATTCACAAATTTTTGCCCAATAATGTATACATAATAAGTGTCGTCTCTGATGCTAAACTGAAATTTATCATTTTTAAGACCACTTATATTCTTTATTAACAACTCTAACCATAATTCCTTGTATACCTCCAAAAAACAAACAAAATTTGAATTTCATATTAATTAGATCCAAATTTCAGCATTATCCGTGCCATATTATACCAAATACAACGTCCGATTCATTCAAATTTAGCACACGAATATCTATAAGGTACCTATATTATGTCTATTCAAAAAAATTTTGAAGTCGATTATATATGTAACATTAATTTTAATTTTAAATCGACAAACCATTTAATACTATTCCTAAAACCTTATAAATGGCTCAATAAAAATGTATATAAACTATTGAAAGTTTATGAAATGGCGTTAAATAATTAGCATTTGATGAGCTTCATCCAGAGCGTTCTTATTAATGGCCAAGTTTCCGAAAATTGATAACTAACTAAATATCAATATTTACAAAAGAGTCAGTTCCATTAAATTGTGACAGGTCTTGATGACTAAATAAATATTCATTCCAAATTGTGTTTGCATTTGAAATATTTAGAATTGAAACGTTCTTTAAGCTCCTTAAACCGATTATTTTCTTCAACCTGAAATACCAGGGAAACATAGTCTAAACTAATGCCTTGCCTTCAAGCCTATCCGTATTAACTTAAGTGATCCAATTAAAAATGAATTATATAGACGATTTATTATGTTGTAAGCACGTTCCGTCAACTCGATGAGGCAGAGATTTCAAAAGTTGGAAATATCTCAGACTAAAGCATATTTAACAATTATATTGCTGATCCTCCTGGTCGGTTATAAGTATGTCCAGCTTAAGGTTTTTTATAAAAAATCCAAAAGTATACATGTTGTTTAAGCACAAGCATTTCCTCCAACATCAAATGATGCCACTGATCTGATACGGTATTGTTGATTTGTTTACAATTACGCTTAATAAATGCATTACTGTGATGGTTGATGAAAATAATTGAGAGAATTTGTTTACGCCTTTCGTAAACTTTATTAGACCATTCGCTAACGGCCTTGAGAATTTTGTGGTATTTTAATTAGAGGTAAGAAAATTATTGGCACTAATTTTGAATCCTGTGTTATTCGAAAATTTGTGTTATGTGACGGATAAATTTATACCTAGTCCATAATAGAAAATAAAATGCAACCTATCTCGTTTAAAATATCGTAATAAAACTCATTTAGGTAGAATAAAAAAAAAACATAAAATAACAAATAGCTATTCATCTTACGCAAAATTTATATTAATTTTAAGCAGATGTCGATTCTGATGACTTAAGAGATTGTGAACAAAAAAAAAAAAACCAAAAAAATTAGAGTTTAAAAAATTAGTAATTCGATTTTTGATCGTCCGATGCGCGTGCGTCATATAATAATGATATATAACTTCGAAATTACCTCTTTTTAAACGATTATCAATTTAATTATGTAATCATAATGATAAATTACACATTCGTTTAATCATATATTTTATTGATTAAAATGTCTGTTACATTTAAAATAAAATATAACCAAAAAAAACCAAATATAAGATATTTAATAATAAAATTTAAAATTTTAAAATTTACGTTGTTATGAATATGAAAGTTTAAATTGTTATTTTCAATATATGATACTACATCTCATGAAAACAAATTCTTTAAATCATTATTTTCATTTATAAAGTTTTTGAAGTAATTGGAATATAGATTATTTCATTTTTAAATGTTTCCCAATTATCTTTTTTATATAATTCAGCTAATTTTTTTTCACAATCTTCATTCCACTTTGTATTCTTTGCTTCATTTTCAGTACATTTTTTAATAAAAATTAATTCTGAAACTTCTAAATTATTAATCTCTAAATCCTGAACTTCTTCATTTAAAATATAGTTTGATTCATATAAAAAGATTATTTTTGTTAGATTTTGAACATTTTTGTCAATTTGACAAGCTTGATAAACATCATTTATAGATGATAATTCTTTATAAATTGTTTTCCAAGGAAATTTGCTTCCATCTGTAGCAATTTCTAATTTGTAATCTAATTGAGCTTTTTTTAAATGTTCTGTGTTAGCCTGATTTGTTAAGATAATTACATTTTTTATCTCATAATCATAATTTTCATCTTCTAAATATTCTTTTACTTTTTCAAGAATGTTTGAATATTGATCATTGATAAAATATAAAGGTATAAGTAAAACAACTAAAGGTTTTACTGAAGAAAAACTAGTTATTTGTGTATTCATTTTTGATAAAAAGCATTTTTTTTAAATAAAAATTAAAAATTTTATAATAAAAATATTTTTAAAATTTTATAAGTAGGCTAGGCTTATACAAGATAAAAAAGCAAATAAAGTCTTTTAAAAAATTTACGTAAATTTTTATAATAGTATTTAAAATCATGCAACTTTTATAAACCAATTATATAGAACAAAAAATTTCTTGAATAAACCGGTTAAAAACAGCCTTGTACATAAATATAAATATAAATTTTTATGTATCTATATTACGTATTTAGACTACGTACCTATAAAAGTTTAAATGAAACATCGGATATTCATCAATATATTCCATTTTGATATCTACCATCCAGCTGATAACAATAATAGTGCCCAGCCCAGCCATTGTAAAATGATGAATATCTCTACTTGTTTTTTACATGCTATCGCTATTATTCTAATCTATTATAATAAATACATCCTTTCCCGTAAACGAGTACCCAACCTATGTCTTTAGTATAACTTATGGCTTGGTCACAAGTACATCCAGCTAATATTGTACGAACTCGTTATATTATAGTACATAATACTATGAGTTATTTTACATAGGTAGCATAATACGTACTGTATTAAACTTTCAAATTGGATATAAATATATTTAATATTTGAGTTTGTACGACGTAGTATATGATATCAATGTGAAACACTGAATTCTTGTACTTTCGATGTTACAATGAATTTTTTCCTGGCAATTGTTTAAAAATATAGCAATGCCCTCTTTAATATGTTTCATCATTGTAATTATAATAACCTTAAGACCTTCGATCAGTCACATATTCTTGGATTAGGTTATAAATTCTACGTAAATACACGAATGCAGCAATTTCGTATCCGGCATCGGCATAAAATTTAACCTGAAATTATACTAGGATTTTCAAAATCAAAATCGGAGAATCCTATTTCATTTTTCCGATTTATAATTCAACTTAGCAAAAATTCTATCAAAAAAATCCTATGTACGTACGTAGTAATTATTTTCGGATTGTGCCACTTATTTTTAATTTTGAAACCCCATTACCGTTAAATAAAAATAGTATTTTCTTAACTGAACATACGTACGATTAAATATTAAAATTATGCTTAAAATTCCACTTTTTTTTTTAAGGAAATAAAAATTAGTTTGTTATCTGCTGGCATTGGATTGTTCGAAATTAAATAGGTGTTACGTAGGAAGAAGTTCGTCTACCTGGTTAACGTAAATCATAATTAAGTATTTTAATTTTCTAAAGAACGATAAATAGACAGCCTCGTTAAATTTGTTAGAATTGTCATCTTTAAATAAGCTACAGTATTCCTTCTTACGTATTATTTTTTTATTGATTGTTTGTCGCTGCAGTATTTTATCATGGCTAATTATGACTTGAATAAACTATTGCATTTTATTATGCACATAATACACTATTACGAATTCCAGCAATTCATTTTTACCCTTATCTTAATATAGAGGATCAGTAGCAGAGACTGCATATATAATTAAAGACGAATAGACAAAATCGTTTGCGTATTTAAAATTATTTACGAGTACTGTACATTAATTTAATATACTTAAACCTTATACATGACCTTTTAATATTTGTAAAATACACTAAGACCTCTCTAAATGCATTGTAACGGGACAATTTATAAACAAAAATCTATAAGCCTTATACTGTATTAGTTGATCCAAATGACGTAGTGTATTTATGGGCTTTTTATAGGGTTGCATTAGAGAGGTTTGACTGTAATATCTAATTATCGTATGAACATACAATATTTCAAGACCGGAAACGTGACCTGATGGCAGGCACGTGACAACGTGACCTTGGGAAGTCCAAATTAGCCAGAAACCCCAGATAAGTCAGAACGACCATTAGGATAATTTGGGTGAAATGATTGATTACTGGCTATAAAGCCGATACGGGGTTATTGATGATTTTAAAGATATAGATGATTCCTGCGAATGTAAATGACGAATCAACAATTATAAATAAAGGACCTTTTGGCCCTTCGGGAAGAATAACTCCCGTTTTTGCTTTATTAACAATTCATACAATCATACAAGTATAAAAAATAAAACATACAATTCTATCTCTAAATAATACATAAACCAATACACTCACTAAAGACTATTCTCGACCTGACTTAACCTAATTTTCGATTACACGAAAATAGAGATAGACTCGCCGACTTTAGGACTGTCAACGTATTGCTCATTTATAAATCATTTTAATCATGTAAATGAAGAATATAAAGGGTATGAAGGGGCAGAAATTAGATAATTATTGAAAATATGGTTATTAAGAATTCCCAAATGTAAACTTCAAAGTCACTCGCATTTTTTTTTATTTTTGTTTTTTTTTTTTTGGAAATAGCCACCGTACCGTACCGTTCCGAAAAAATTAAGCACTCCCGAAATTAAATTTTGCATAATACTGTATCCGAAAATAAGCACCTCATTAAGTATAGTCGTATCGGATTTTTTACAATGTAAGTCTGTTTCTGTTTCTAAGTAAAATTATTCTCCATTCTAACGGTGGTAAAATCATTAAAATTAGCCTGGTAGAACATTTGAAATTGCTTCTCAAAGTTCTGGCGACGTTTTGTTTTTTTACATGGTCTGCAGATTACGTAAGCGAAATGTAAACAAACGTCGCCCTTTGAAGAGAAATTGTAAACGTTCTACCGGACCAATTTTGATGATTTTACTACCGTTAGAACTTGCCTTGGTCCGGAGAATAACTTTAATCACAAACAGAGTGAAGGTTTACTCAGTACAAATCCCCTATGAATAATTCTTAAAATTTTATCTGAAAATAAACACCTTTTAACAAAAAAGGGTGTTTAATTTAGGAACGGGTACGGTAATAATGCGGGTTTCAAAGTTAACAAATAAGTGACGCATTTCGAAAATAAATGGGATTTTTTTCAATAGCATCTTACTATGTTGAATTATAAATCGGAAAAATAAATAAGATTTTCAGATATTAACTTTGAAACCTTCTAATATTTATGGGACACCTGATAAAAATTTAGCCGCATGATTTTTCAGGCGATCCAATTAAGTTATTGATTCCGGTGTCACACCTGAAATTCACCTCTTAACAGAATTCAAGGGACGCGATGTTATAGTATGAGGACTAAAACTATGGTGAAATGGGGATGGATACAAACATCGATATAACGACTTAGAAAAGAGGATTTAGTAGGCTTTATCGAAAGAGGCAACAACAACTGTATATGAAAATACAAAATGTTAGTTTTATTACAACAATGGATGTTCAAGTTGCATGGTCACGTGATAATGTTTTATAAGTTTTTATTAAAAAATGAAAATGAAATTTAATGTATATGAAGACACAGCTACTTTATCTAACCAATAAAGCAACTAATGATACAAAAGAGATAAGGTGTCAAAGTCTAAGTTAAATCAAGATAAAAATAAAGGCCTTTTATACAAGATTGAAGAAAAGTATTAATCTGTTTTTTTGACTTTTATTGGTGTTTGATAATTTTAACTAACTACTTTTCAATTAAACTCTACATTACAGCAAACTATTAAATATGCTCTTTAATTTTTTTAAGAGATATGCTATAAATTTCTTTATTTTTATATTATCTTGCAAATTATACACATTTTTAGGCATGTATGGCTATAGCATCCATAAATCTATAGAATAGAATTTTCTAATAAAATACTAGCATGAAAAATATATTCTTAAATTAGGTTCAAATTTTAATATTAATATTGATATAGATACCTGTATATATAACTATAATATCTATATTATTAAATTATATTATTAGTCTAATTTAAAAATTATACTCTATATTTAATTAATATATATATATATATTAATATTTTGGTATAGTAGAGTACTCTTTCTGATAATCTCTCATACCAAAAAAACAACAAACTTTTTTTTTTCTAAAAAACAATAAACTATAGCAAAAAGAAGAAATGTAAAGCTAATCAAAACCATAAACCAGCACCTGTTATTTAGAGAAAGTTCTCATATGCTACTTGCTAATAGGCTTAGAGCTTATTACTCACCATGAGGATAGCATTTGTTATTTAGAAGTAGTTCTTATATGCTACTTGCTAACAAGTTTAGTGGTTATCACCTATTGCCAAGAAAGGCAGCAGTTCACTTGGCTCTATATATTTTACTACTTTTAGAAAAAAATATACATTTTTTAAAAAAAGTATGAGGGTTATTTTTTATACTATTACCACTTGTTTTTTCTTCAAAATTTTTGTAAAAAGTAGGCAAAAACAGCTTACCCCTGTCAAAAGATTAGCATTGTTTACTTCTTTCAAATTTAGATGACCTAGTATATTGCAACTATGTGTTTTGTTTACTATCGGACACAGTGCTACTGCATGGGTCTAGGCCTTAGTTAAAAAAAAATCTGAAAATAGCTATATAATCAGAGAGAATTCTATATATTAAGACAAAGCTTTACAGTAGAGATATACAGATATTGTATTTGTTATATAATTTTTTCAAGCCTACTACAGACTATAATAGTGTTTTTTAAGATTTACTCTTTTTTTTAATTAGGATTAGAGTAGTCAAAATAGCCTTTATTTCTTTCTTTTTGTTTCTTCATTTTCTTTTTTTTACTTTGTCTTCTTGTTATTCTATTTAGATCTCTTTCCATTTTTTCTTTTCCTCTTTTATACTTCTCTAACAAATGCTTATAGTCTATTTATATATCCTTTTCTTCATTTAGCTTTATAAGAAGAAGGAGAAATTTAAAGAAAAAATACTTAGACTTTTTGACATAATCTTCTAGTTTGTTGTTAAGATAAATTAGTATAGCAGATTGTACTTAGATATTTTTAGAATATTTGGATAATATTAGACTTATTAAATTAGATTAATATATTAATACTCTAAATTTTTGCTATATATCTAATAAAATAATAAGACTGTCTAAGTATTAAAAAAAATATATTTGGGTATAGTATCTACTTAGACTTTATT